TATCAAAATCCAAGATGGCTGCCTGTCGGCCATGTTGTTTATCCGATCAGTCTCAAAAGTTGCCCTGCACAGCTTAGGACCAAGGGGAACCTGCATATAAAATTTGAGAAAGATCCCTCTGGTACTTCTTGAGAAATACCGATAACAAGAATTGTTTACGGACGGACGACGGACGCAGGGTGATTTGAATAGCCCGGGCCACCATCAGATGATGGTGGGCTAAAAAGCCCTGATCAGGCACACACACGAGTCAACTAAGCAAATGACGGGATCGTCTCTGTGTCCACAAGACTTTGTAGCTTCCTTGAATTCATCGCTTATTTTAGTCAGTCCTTTGGAATCAATTTTTCTGATGTAAATTTTTTTAGTTGAGTATTATGCTACATGGTGTAGAACCGGATGTCACCCGCGAATCAAAGCAGTTGTCAATTTGACGCTTGAAATTCCGATGACCATATCAAACGCTATCATGACCTAGTTTCGAGTATTCGGATTTGACTTCTCTCCCCTTGCTCAGAAACGGAAAATTTCCGATTGCTGAAGTTATTATCGTTCTGGAGAACGACTTATGTATTTTAACATACACTTTAGACATGTTTTGATAAAATCACAAATATTGATCTGTTAAACTTCAGAGATACACGTAAACATTATGTAATGTGCATCATAAACAGTGATTGTGATAGCCCCATTCTAGTACATTGTATCAAAATAAGTGACACAAAGGGCCCAACGGGCATTATTGCTCATCTGGATATTTAAGTTATCATGGTAAATTACTCATTAAAAGAAACAAGGAAATTAGGTTCCCAGGAGAAGGACCAGATCCTTTAGAAAATCACGGTAGCATGTGTATCCTAATCTTCCATGTTCAGCAACCATATATATATATATAGTTATTATAAGGTGGGATCTCCACTTTTTCAATGCGAAGACCAAGAGACTAATTTCTTTTTTATGTGTAGCAATTGTATACATATGGTTATTGGTTGGGAATCTCCACTTTTTTTCCGGGTGGAACAGCAGGTTTTACAACAAGCTGGCCCGCAAGTTGATATTTTGTTATTTTATAAAAAAAAATCAGCTGATTTGAAAAGCTCTTATTTAAGCCCAGAATGTACCACGTGCACAGAGCTTCTAGATTTTATAATTTTTGGAGGGGGTCAGAAGAGTATTGAGTACCTTTGGCGCTCGCTCGGGCCTGCACTCCTCGTTATCTGGAGCAGTGCACTTCAAACAGGACCAGTGAATTTTACTTCAACTGGCCCTTTGGACCAGCGACTGTTTTTTTTAATTCCACCCCTGTGTATCCACTCCCCAAAAGACTAAAATGTAAATATTTACTTTTTGAGCAAACTTTTTTTCACTCACAGACAAAATTTGATTTAGTGCTCACAGCGTATGTGCTATGCGCGTTTGCTAAATGCTTCTGTAAATGTTGAAGTATTGTAGGTCAGTATTTGACTGTTTGTTATAAGATGAAGTGTTTTATTGGTACATATCTTAACTGTACTCTACTCCTGAATTTTCTCACAATTACATGTTTCCATTAGAGGTACACAAACACACTCAAAATGAAGTACAGCTGTAGTTCATTTTGAGTGTGTTGATGTAAAATGCAATGGGTGAAAGACACCTGGAATCTATTAGACATATTTTTCAGCATGTTTTTTAAACAAGATTACCACACAGGTATATTAGATGTCTGCCTTTGCTTTTTTTGTCAAAACAAAGCAATAGTCTCACTGTAAAAGTTACCATAGTATAATTGTCATCAATTCACATCTGCACTCTGTAGCAGATGACTAATACTCATAGTGAGGCTTACCAAGTTTCTGTTACATGATAAATAATCAGGGACTATTTTCTGGAAAAAAGATATCAATCACATGATGCTCTGAAGCACAAAACAGGGCACAACAGTGTTTAAACTAAGGAAAACAGGGCATAACAATGTTTAAACTAAGGAAAACAGGGCACAACAGTGTTTAAACTAAGGAAAACAGGGCACAACAGTGTTTAAACTAAGGAAAACAGGGCACAACAATGTTTAAACCCTTGCATAACAATATGGACCAAAGCCACCCTTACATAACAATATGGACCAAAGCCACCCTTACATTACAATATGGACCAATTGCCACCCTTACATAACAATATGGACCAATTGCCACCCTTGCAATACAATATGGACAAATTGCCAGATATGAAGTTGGGGTACAAAGAGAACACAATAACATAATCACAAACAATCAAGAACTCTGTTCACAAAATTAGATGACCATCAGTGTCCAATCGGTTGGTATTTTGAAAACAAATGCCTACAAAAAACGTTTATGCAAATAACATGTCACTTGCCACTTCTAATTTTACACTGACATGTGTCCCACAAAAATTCAGGATAAAAACAAGATAATTACAACATACTGTTGTGTGAATATTGTAGTACTTTAACAAAGCATGGATTTCGTGTGAAAGAATGGCTTACCTCTTTATTTAAGAGGAGGGAGCGAGGTACAATGCTTTTACTACCAGACATCACGGCTAGGGCTGCTGATAAAGCTTCCACAGCACCTCGTTCAGCGATCAGATTTTCAGCTGACTCTCGGAAATATTGCAGAGTTTCGTCTGTCACCATAGCTAGGGACCTAGATAAGCAAAAAAATCCATTGTTAAATCTCACTGATAAAGTGCAAACACTATTTCATATTTTCTGATATGGTGATTGGAAAATGAGAAACATCTATCTTCCTTTCCTGATTTGAGAAAAGTAAAACTCCTCGAGAAAAAATAAATAAAACAAAAATAAAATTTGCAGCTTATAAGTACATGTATATATTTATTTCAATGCATTTCCTTGTTTCCTTTGCTATCTCTGCTTCTTTTAGAATATCATTTGTAGTTATTTCTATGCAGTTACTTTTCTTGGCTTTTCTCTGTTCCTTTCAGCAACACCTTATGTATGATCTAAGAGAGATAACCTACAAGTTGAAGTTTGATTGGTCTAAGGGAGATAACTAACATGTATGCTGGACATGCATAACAATGGTCAAAGGCAGATATTAATATATTGAACTGCCTCCACCGGATTGTATAGCTGGTTTTAAAATTGTGTATCGAAGTTATATCTACAAAATAAAGCCAAAATTCATCTTTTTTTTTTAAATGTATAGAAAATGTGAAAAGTTGATAGACAGCAGACTGATCGTGAAGCCTGTACGACATCAAGTTTGATGCCATGTTGAACTAGAACTGTTTATATTATTTTGACCCTTTCATCCCTATGTAATTTTAGTAGACTCTACCATGCACTGATCTGGATGAGTCCATTATGGTCTATAGTGGTGGAAGGGTTAACCCTTTGCTGCCTATCATCACCAGTACCCATTTCCCTACCCACCACATCCCTTTGATTAAAAATAAATATCATTTCTCACTTTGCTGCGTCACCTGCGGAAGCTTTGATAACATCTGCTGTTGTTGGACCTCCAACCTTCTTAAACTTGATCCTCTGAAAATTTTAGAATAGAGATGTATAAGGAATAGCTAATTCTTTACAAACAGGTGGCATTTCAAATGGTAGATGCATATCTGATATTATAATATTCCATAAAAAATCTCCTGACCATTGGCTTCATGTCATGTCTTTATCAACTACATAAACTTGCGTTAGGGGTTAGATATTTTCTGTATTGGAGCGATTTTAATATTGTGTCTTGACTATTTAGTCTAGTCTATATAGCCATGCACTGTTATTACAAGATCAAATTCAGCTCAAATTTTAGTTTCTTCAAAATGTTTTCACTAAAATGAACACATACCGCTTTGGTTTCTACCCAGGCTAAATCGTGTTCCTCCTGAGGTTTGTAAAAGCAAACACAGACTCCCGAGCGCCCAGCACGTCCTGTCCTGCCCGATCTGTGGATGTAGGAGTCAACGTCCTTTGGGGGATTACACTGAATTACAAGGTCCACCTCGGGCACGTCCAGGCCGCGAGCGGCCACATCTGTTGTAATGAGTACTTTATATTTGCTTTCCTTGAACATCTAGAGATGCAAACGAAAAAATCATGGTTACAATATCGGATAGAATATAATAAAAGTATTAAACAATGGTTTCAATTTCAAAATCAGTTTTATCTGATGAACAGTTATAACATATTCATATTAGAATGATGACTTACCTTTGTTATCTATAAAAGAAATATTGATGGAAATAATGCTTAATTTACCTTTTTTCTGCCATTTCCTATCAACTGCTAAATTAGATAAGTGAATCATTTGATATAAGATTAGTGAAACTTTTCTAAATTTTGACGCTTAAAATTGAAAAGATGCGAGTATTTGACTCCTTATATCACTGAAGATGTTTACATTTGTAAATAAACGCTAAATCTGAAAGAATTTCCAGGCCATCAGGTTACAAAAGTTGAGAAAATGTAAAACATAATTATTGACAAGGTAACTCCCAAACATTCCTGTTATGGTCTGCTCTAAGCACTAGGTCATAAGAATATGAACTTGCTTTTGAAGTAAGGTTGTGCTTACCTTAAGCACAGACTCTCGTTTTGCCTGAGGAATGTCTCCATGAAGAACATGTCCATCTTGCTTGATGAGTGGACTGACAGCGAGTTCATCTGCGTCACGTTTGGTCTGACAGAAGATCATGGCACGTCCATGCTCGCCGCTGTACACGGAAACCACATTCCCAATGGTGCCTGCTCTGTCATGGTAGCTACATTTGATAGCCATATGCTAATTGAGGAAGAAATAATACAATGTTGTTATCAAAGTTAATATAAAGCCAGGTGTATACAATTCCACTAGTCTGGCGCCAGAGGCAGGTAGATTATGTCAGGGCTAATGCAAATTTTAAATAATCACTATGGAATATTTTTTCCATTCTGGTAGAATTTCGCAAAATCAATCTGTGGGCTAGTACTAGAATTGCGCATCCCTTTTAGCAGCGCAATGTTTTAATGTCTGGACAAATTAAATTAACTCTGCATAAAACAAAATCTTGACATTCTAAGACTGTTCTAGGAAAGGTACATTCACTCACCTCTACTGTGGTGGAGGTACGACTCTCCTGTGTTCCCACCAGATTCACTTTCTTTATGTTATTTACATCCATGTACTTCTTGGCCGTCTCATACACCCAGGGGGGCAGTGTTGCTGTGAAGAGTAGGGTCTGTGGCTTGGAACTAGCATCTGTCACAAACAGATTAGCTTACATTGTCATACACAACATAGTCCATAACTTAAGATCATAGGAGTGTATTGCTAAACGGAAATAGGAAGTACATCCCTAGTTGAAAATTCAATGTAGGGAGACAGTATCACCATTTCCGCATATTCTACTGTTAAATAATAAACTAATGAATATTGTATGTTTATTATTGACAGAACAGTGTGTTCTTTCAATATTAAAGTATTTCAAAGCAATCCAGGCATTAATTCAGTGGTTTTTTAATCAATGAGTCACATGTGTCCATTTTTCTGAACTTCAGGAAACCGGCTACCTATTTTACCACTGTGAAGATTTTCAAGAACGATTACTCTTACACGCTATTACTATATGTATATGGTTTTATTATAAAATGTCAATTTTTAATCGTTTATAGATAATCAATTTTAGACAATTTCAGCATTTATGAAATTGGTATACATTAATACAATACTAAGCTATGCATGTATCATTTTTATTGACATTGTTTGTTTTGAAAAATTCACTCATTTTTACACAAATTTCCATTTAAAATCCTTAAAATTCTGACAACCTATATTTTTTTGTGGCAGAAAATTTTCATTACTTCAAAGCAGTATAACTACAAAATTTGAAGAATTTCTACTGAGAAATGGCGACACAATCCTATTACCTTAATACAGTGTCATTAAATATACTTCCAAATGCTCTTAACAGAAATAGTTGCTGTACTTAGCAACACCCCTTTTGCAAAATTATAACATGACAACAGATGTTTGGAAAACAGATATTTAAATCATTGTTCGCTGCTTTTCCTATAGGACTCACAGATATTTTGAGAACCCACTACATCTCTTTGAGAAGTAATGGAATTACAAACATTGTTTTGTCTCATATGTTTACACACAACACAAAATTCTTACTCAACACCATTTTGTGTATATTTACATAAAAATACGAAAGTGTATGACTTAAAACCACCTCCTATACAGGTTTATATTAACAACAAACTCCATGACTTAGCATTGTTCCTGGCATGTTCTTTCAAATATGTACACCACAAATAGTTGATGAGAGTCGACAATAAACGCAAAAGAGCCTGTCGTAATTTCCAGGCAAAAAAAACTATGATAATTGTCACTACTGACCTTTGTTGACGTAGGCAGAGTTTATGATCTTGTCAACGCTGTCTGCAAAGCCCATATCTAGCATCATGTCCACTTCATCCAGGACCACATACTCAAGGGTAGAGAAATCCAAGTTCCCTTTCTCTACGTGATCGAGGATACGGCCAGGAGTGCCCACCAATACATCTAGGCCAGATCTGATAGCATTTTCTGTAACACAATATCACCATGTGCTGTACCAGTAATGTAAAATACTACTGGCCTCTGATGTTATATGGCTGTCCTCAGTGTTCCCAAACAGACCCAAATTAGGTTTTTTATTTTACCCCGAACAGTTTTACTTTCATTTTCAAGGACTGTCCTATGTAACCAAGCACCTGCAGGAACAGAATCTTACCCTTAATACAAATTCCAAGAGAACACTGTTCTGTTTACTATTTACATTTTAACCAGGATAGCCATGTATATACTTGCACTACAAACTAAATTTCAAAATATTGCCCCTAAATCCTATTTTAACAAGAGGCCCAGAGGGCCTGTATCGCTCACCTTGATATCTAAGCAATCATGGCAAAATATTCTCCTTATAAGATCCAAGGGAATGGGCCGGACCCTAAGGCCAAACCTTGTAACATATCTGTATTAGATTTTCAAGCCCAGCAATGTATGGTTATAGGGTGGGGATCTCGACTATTTCCAAGCTGTGACTACGAAACTAGGTCCCTAGGGTTGTGGCCAGATCATAGGGTCAATTCTAATATCACGACAGCATTAATATTGTCTCTTTATGTCCAGCATTTGTATATATAGTTTTGGGGTGGGGATCTCAACCGTTTCAAAGTTATGACCCAGGGGTTAAGTCTGCAAGAGTGGGACAGATCCTGAGGTCAATTCTAATATCATATGATGATCACAGCATTTGTCTCTTTATGCCCAACAATTGTAATAGTATACTTAGTTTTGGGGTGGGGATCTCAACAGTTTCAAGTTATGACCCAGGGGTTAAGTCTGCAAGAGTGGGACAGATCCTGAGGTCAATTCTAATATCATATCATGATCACAGCATTCTTCTCTTTATGCCCAACAATTGTAATAGTATACATAGTTTTGGGGTGGGGATCTCAACCGTTTCAAAGTTATGGCCCCGGGGTTACGCTTGCAAGGGTGGGGCAGATCCTGGGGTCAATTCTAATATCATGACAGCATTTGTCTCTTTATGCCCAACAATTTTATATATAGTTTTGGGGAGGGGGTCTCAAAAGTGTAAGTTATGACCCAGAGGTTGTCTCCAAGGGTGGAGCCAGACCCCAGTGCCATCCTGGAAGCATATGTGCATTCTTTATTTCTTTTCCAAGTAATCAACTATTTTTGGCCCAACCCGTTAGCCCTGGGGGTCAGCCCCACTATTTGTACAGTTTTGATTTTCCACCTCCCATGAATGCTTCCGACTAAATATAATTTATATCTAGTGTATATTTCTATAGAAGAAGTCGTTTATAGCAATAAAGCCAAATTGCCACCTTTTTGCCCCGCCCCTCAGCCCCCTGTGGGGTGGCCCAACCATTTGTATAATTTTGAATCCCCACTACCTAGGAATGCTTCCAGTCAAACGTGGTTGATATCCATCTTTGGGTTCCAGATCCAAAAAAGTCGCTTAAAGCAATGTAGCAAAAAAGACCTTTTTTGGTCCCGCCCGTAAGCCCCCTGGGGGTCAGCCCCACCATTTGAACAATTTTTAATACCTGTCTCCAATGAATGCTTCCAACCAATATGGACAATATCCAGTGCAAAGTTCTACTGAAGAAGTTGTTCATAGCAATATAACCAAATTGCCCCCTTTCGGCCCCACCCCTCAGCCCCACCATTTGTACAATTTTGAATCCCCACTACCCAGGGATGCTTCTAGTCAAATATGGTTCATATCCACCTCTAAGTTCCACAAAAGAAGTCGCTTAAAATAATACATATGTATAGACAAATTAACCCCTTTCGGCCCCACCCCTCAGCCTCCTTGGGGGTCAGCCCCACCATTTGTACAATTTTGAATCCCCACTACCTAGGGATGCTTCCAGTCAAATTTAGTCAAATTCCAATCAGTGGTTAAGAAGTAGTCGTTTGAAAAAATTGTGGATGTTCACCTTGGTCCTTCGGACCAGGTGAGCTTATAATCAATATAAATATCTTCCATGAAGCAATTTAAAGTAGACTAATTCCACCTGGAAAGTAAATATGCATACCTAGATCTGATGTAAGCGTCAAATTTAATTTTAAACTTTCAGTTCCCCCTTTCAAAGTGCAAAGATCCCGACATTATGAGTTGTGTAACTTACCTTGAGGATAATAAGGAGTACCACCATAGATGCAGAAAGTCGAGATTTTGTCGCCGACGGATTCAAAATCGTTACACACCTGTTTGGCTAGTTCCCTGGTTGGTGCCATCACCAGAACCTTTACAAAGTGTTAAAGGAAGAACTCGACTTTAATAAATGTAACGACAAATGAAGACGCTGCCTCTGTCTGGGATACATGTAGTCAACACAAGGAGGGAACTGTTTTCTGCCTTTCATGGCAGCTATTCATCTATCATTCAAATCTTTATGGTGATGAAATAATATCCATATTTTTCAAGCATTTTCTGTCAAAATCGTAATTTTATTTCTTTCACATTTGGTAATTGATCAAATGAGAAAATACCCCATTTCTCATTTTGCTTTGTAGAGTAACAAGGGTTGAATATCTGACCTTAAGAATTAGCAGTTTGAGTTGAGTATACATACTTTTGGTGGTCTACCTCTTTTATTCGTATGGTTCTCCTGTAGACGCTCCACTAACGGAAGTGCAAAGGACAGCTAAATAGACATGAAAAAAATGGAAAACATGGCTTAAATTTGTCAATAGAATGCCAGGTAAGTGGCCTCTTCTTTAAACACATTGAAATGTAAAAATGATAAAAAAAAATACTACTAATAAAGCACACCAACAAATCATTAACAAATTGTCTGATATATGTACAGTTAATGGTTCTTTTCAAAGGTCTATTGGAATCATCTTTTTCTCTCCAAGAAATGACTACAATATTAATTGACACGCGCATGTAAAAGTTTATGATTCTCCATTAAACAAGATATTTCACATAATTCAAAGTTTTCACAAATATTCTGATATAAACTTACTGTCTTTCCTGTTCCCGTTCCTGTAACACAACATAAAAGGTATTTTTAATATATGTAAAAAATGACAGGAAGATACAATTCTGAACAAAAGTAAACCATGAGGTACATATGTATCAATAAAGTCATTAAAGTTACTTAACATTTATAGATTTAGACTTTTGAATTGTTTATATTTATGACCCGAATACTTAATATTTTATTCACAAAACATGAAGACAAACTGATCTGGTTTACAGTATCTTTGAAATAACTGTAGGAGTATTTTCATTTGAAAAATTCCAAATCTGCTCAATGTTTGCAGAAATGACCAAGATGTCAAAATAAATATCAGTTCTCACTGGCTTGTGCAATAACATCTTCTCCATCATACACGTAGTTAAAGGTCTGAGACTGGATCGGAAATAGATAATTGATTCCTTTTGCTGCAAAATAAAAGGAAACCAACATTTACTATATGATCAACAAAAATTAAGAAAACTTAAGTCAGTGTTCAAACTAATATCTGTGTCGAAAAAGCTCAACAGAATTAACTATCTATGGTTATATTTGACACTAAACACTAAGGTACATTCAATGCTCTCTACCAAACATGAGAGCATATGAATTTATTTCAAAATATAACAATTATACATAAAAAATGTTGAGACCGAAGCAAGATAATCACAAAAAACTTGCACCTTTTAATTTTGTTACAGTCCCAGGTGAAATTCTGAAATTTGAGAAGGCTCCGTCTTTCTGTTCCTGTGTGAGTTCTGGTTCAGGGTCACTTTCCTCCTTGCCATTCTGATTTCCATTAAGACCATTTGTAGCTGTTCCATTTTCTACAGTACTTTCGTCTTTTGCAGCTTTATCCTCAACCTTCTCTTCTGGTGAACAATTTTCTTCATCTTCTTCCTTTGAAATTTTCTTACTCTGAAAAACAGGATCAAATAGAAATCAGCAACATCCTCAGTTTAAGGCTAACATTTTGATGTTAAGAGAATAAATGGATCCATATACAACAAACTTTTGAATGAATAAAGATGTTGAATAGAACTAGAAAATGTCTGTAAGACATAAATGCCTCCGCTTCCAGGTAAAATTAGTTTTAGTGTTCTATAAAAAGTTACAACCACTTTGATCTTGATACCCTGAAACATGCACACACAAACAAGGTACTACACTTAAAGTTGATAGTTGATTTTAATGTTTTTTCTGTATGTTATTACCATCCTGAAACACAAGGATGTCAGAGGTATACCCATATTTGACCTTTATATAAAGTTTGACCAAAATCCATGAAGGAATGAGGTTGTTAATTGTTTCAATTGAATCAGTTGATGATTTTCTATATTCAGCAAGTGTGACCTTGGCCTTGGAACCCTGAAACACAATGATGTCCGAAATATACCGATACTTGACCTTTGTATAAAGTTTGACCAAAATCTGTTAAAGAATGATGTTGCCAAGTGTTTACATTGAATCGGGACGGGGCGGACAAATAGACTTGAGAGAGGGAGTCTGCTCAAGAAGTGGGGCAAAGTAATGTTGTATAGATTGTTAAAAGTACCTGGGGAAGTTTTAGGAAATAGTCAAGATTTAGGGAAGTAAGAGTTGAGAGTCTAAAGTTGAGTCGTGGTTGGAGATTCAGGAATGCGAGCCTCTGGTGAGAGAGGCCAGGGAAGGCCTGGGAATAGCAATTGGTGTGCTTTAGATTTATGTTTGGTGTTATAACTGGATAAAATCTGTGTGCATGTAGATTTGCTGTCATGTTGCAGAACTGCATGCTGTTAAAATGGACATTTGTTTTTAAGAGAGATCTTGCCAAGAGGGCCTACTCAAGGTATGGACACTGACTGATTTGTTGATGATATTTCCTCTGTTGACACTTCATCTCTTGGCACTAATTACAATAGGTCAAAATTCCTTGGATTTTACACTCATTCTCTGCACCCCTGGAATATGTATCTTGACAAAATTAGGCTCAGTATGTGCTACCTTGCAGTTGATACAAGATTTGGACACTGGTTTGATCTTTTGATGTTAATACTTTGTACATCAAAATAATCACTGAACAACATAATGGTAAAACTGGCCAGCTTTGGATTCGTGGAGTAGGGTGTTGTTCTTCTGAAATCTTCAAAGGACAGGTATCGGTGCTTGTAACCAATCATGTGCCTTTGGTTTTGTTGTCACACATGTCAGAGTGCAGAGAATGCAAGAGAGACTGTTTACTATGATACCTTACCAAATGTCAACAAGAACTTATGCTCAGATGACAAGAGGTGATCAGTAACACACCTAGCTGCGAAAACGTAGCTTTCTGACGACGAAAGATTTTTTTTTATATATGGTAACCATATTGTGTCGTCAGAGCTATGAAGCGGTATATATATGCCAATTTATGGAGCAAATCTGCAAAGATGGACGGTCTGTAAGACTATATAAAATTCACGCCTCATATTCATATAATGCTATCAAAATATTGTATAACTGTTGAAAAAATGAATCCTTACCAATGAAAAAAACTCTTTCACAAAATTAACTAAGTCTGTCTTGGGGATTTTTTTTAGAAACGACCGCCAGGACAGATCACGCTTGATGTTATCTCAATTATTCTTTCTATATATGGCATGAATGGCGAAATAAAGTATTACTACCGATGCTGCCATGTTTATTACAATTTCCATATTGGGTCACGACACCCATATTAAGATGTCCAACTTTTATCCGAAGAGGTTGAGATGAACTTTCCAACACAACGGTCAATTAAAATTTTGATTGTGCTTGCTACGTCAACTTGATAATTTAACAACATTTTAGGCAGAGTTTAACTTCAAGTTGTGCAGGAAATCAACAGAAATCGTTCATACTTACGGATGCAAACCAATGTGCTGTCAATTAATTCTAATATCGCCCTGGTGTGATTCAGTCACACCAGGCTTGCTCCATTACAAGGCATGCGATCGATTAAATACTAGTCCTAATGCTAGTACCTATTAATATTAGTACTATAACATACCCTGCGACATACGAAACTTTGTGTTTCATAAAATTGGATTTTTATTGGTGAACTGGTGAGTATGCATGAAATTAGATCTACACTAAGCACCCAACATGTTATATCAGTGACAAGACTTGCATATTAAGCAGCAATAATACAATAAGGGATCTTTCTTGATTTAAACACATGGGTTTTGCTAAGGTCTGTTGTGAACCATAATAATGTGTATTTAGACATGTGTAACCGACCCCTGTGGGAATACATTATATACACATCACATACTTTATCCACAGGTGCTGGACACACTAATGTAATGATAATATAGACCCTACATGTCATTTTAGTGTCTCAAGCACCTATGACTTTAGACCCCCCCTCCCCTTCCCCTTCCGTGATTCCCTTAAAATGTATTCGAGGCATTTACATGCAATGCCTGTAATTTAACCTTGGCAAAAATAATCGGAAGGTATGGCATTATTTTGAACTAATAATTCAAATACACTACACCACAATTTGCCAGTCTTTGAGAGTTCTCACAAACTTGTCACGCCCTGGCCACGTGCTGTCCATTATATTATTTTTCTCGACGTTCACTTAAGTGATGGTCTAAACTTTCGATCTAGGGTGCGTCGATCGCCTTTTCAATGAGACACACATTGTACAGAAATAACATAGGAGCATTTCCATATTCATTAAAATATCAATATAAGTATAGTTATCCCACATTATGTCACTGCCATAATGCCATGTGGTGTGGTTTAGCAACCACGTGCCATGTGATTATTTCACAATCAAATGTCAAAACAAGAGTAAGAAGGTTTTAACAAATTACCTTATCCTTAGACTTCTTTGAATCCTTTTTGGTTTTGTCTTTCATTTTCTTCTCTTTCTTTTCCTTGACTTCGACCTTCATTCTTGTAGCCGTAGTAGAATTTGACACTAGACAAATAACTAACTCAGTCAGTGCTTCCCTTACAACACGTGTTGAAAATAACCACTTCCGGCATCCAAGTCATAAAGCGCCATCTATCGCACATTTTCATCCAATCAAATTACACTATATGATCTCGACCGATGTCGTAACTGCATAAAATTAACCTGTGTCGGCGTCAAAGGTGCGGTAAATGACACAATTACTACTTTACTATATAATCATCGTGTGCAACATATTCCAACAATTATTTTGATACCGAATATTACACTATTTCAAGAACGAATTGTTCTTTTTATTGAAGATTTAAGCAGTAAACTGAATTTTCATTACGAGAGAATTCCCATTTAAGACACGTTAATTTGCATATTTCTGAAACGAGTCTATTTTGCATACTTGACTTAGTATCTCTACTTACTTAAAAGTTGGTTACCGATAATATCCTTCATCTATCATGAGTTCCAAAAAACAAAAACCGGTTAAATGTCATACAATCCATCTGATTAAAAAAAACACACCATCATTTAGCTTTCTTTATAACCAAAAGTCCTTTTTTTTGGGTCTTGATATATATGGCAAGTACATGTAGGTTGTTCATGTAAATGGATAATAGCACGGGATTAAATTGTTATCTAAGTCCGTGGTAATATAATAAAGGGTTTTGGTATGATACAAAAACAGAAAATGTATAGGTTTTTACCTTAATATTAAAACAATGACAATCAAATCTTCATGATTATGTGAAATTGTGCATTGGTCATGTTTAGCATACTAAAAAAAGTATTTTACCGGGTTTGATATTACCTTAAAATGATTCTGTAGACAGAATATATACATGGATTTTTTTTAAAGAAGTATAAAATATAGACTACTATTAAAACTACATGTATATATAGACAAGTTGACAATGTGGGATACAATAGCATATTTTTAATTAAACGTATCACTACGGTTACTTTATGTACATCAATATGACATATTTAGTATCAAAATAAGAGTAATTCTAATCACTATACACTATCCTAGTTCATTTTCAAATTATCTCGACTGTGAAGTTTATCTGTCATTTTGTTAGGATACCCGTCACTCAACCTGGTGTTATGCAAGGAGGTCCACTACGGTTATCAGCAGTAATAATGAATACTCATATGTGCAATAATTGTTAATATTTTAGGTATCTAGGCCTACATATGGCGAAACAGAAACAAATTGAAGTGGGGTCGAATGTTGACCCAACCTTTAGATTTATCTTATTTTACCATCGATCTGTCACTCCCGCCTATATCCTGTCACACTTCATTTCATTGTGGAATAGAAAGCTTAAACACACGTATGTGACTTTTCAAACAATAATATTTGATTCGTAGTGTTATCAAACTTATATTTACGACAGGAAAAGATCCACTAGATCCTCCTACTGATTTATAGCGGAATTGCATTCATATTGATTCACAGTAAATTTTATGCTAATATTTTAAACCATTGTTCAATCGGTTCGAAATAAATAGTGACATACTTGTCGATGAGCCGAACAGTTTTTAGGAAGAACTGTTTTAAGTTGCTTAGATCACCAGTTTGTATTTTATATTGAATACTAGAAAGACAAGGAAAACAAATCTGCCATTGTATGTTGTGTTGATACCAGCGACACATAAAAACGTCTGTGGTTGATACGAAGAAAACCTTTTGAAAGTGTTAACCGATATCTCCAGTGTAGTGATGTAGAACATATTTTACTATAAATTACCATCCACAGTTATAAAACATGGCATGGAGCAAGCTTCTAATGTCTCACCAATTCTTTCATTGGTAATATATTAAATTATGCACTGAAAAATATCAATTATTTGAAATGTGGAATAGATCGAGATTAATTGATGATTCGTGTATTGTCTCATTGATTGATCTAGACTATAGGATATGCCGATTCCATGTTGAAAGCGATGTTCGATACTTTTAATAGGTGATGTGACAAGTGAAAAACTAATGTTAACAACGACAAAATCAACATTGTCATATTTAGAAGGGATTCCATAGTAATTATTGATTATATGTGTACATGTTATAATATATGGCCGTTGCTTTGAATGACAAATATCAGTACTGGTTTAGGTATTTGCAATATTGAAGTGAATTTTGCGCGAGTTATCTCCCGTTGAGCGTGCGCTCTCTTCTCCACACCCCCTTTCGGCATCGACAAACAGGTCAGTACAGTTTCTCCGAACTATTTTTAGAACTGTAAGCCGTGGTGACACAGTGTTTGACCCACACAGTATGAACTGAATATGCTAATTTGTTTGTAGAAATGTTATATTCACATTGCCGCGATAATTATAAATGTCTATAACGACAGGGCCTGAACATTTGATACAGCTATATTTGGATCCTAGGCTAAGGTGTTCAGAGTAGTTCTACAAGATCAACTTTTCGTAAGAATGCTACTGAAAATTGATATAAACCCCTAAAACGTGTAAAATTACTACAAACACGTTAGCTTAGGTCAAAATAAAGCTGTAACAAATTCTCAGATCCCTGTGTGTATACCTTGTGAACCGGCCCTTTGTTATAGATATGGAATATACTACACAAGACTTGTATACATTTTTAGCTGTTTCCAGTCGAGCAAGCAACTTAAGTAGCTTTAAGGGATAGTACTATTGCAATGTAAATCGGAACCTTTTAAAATCAGAATTCATACCAGGTTTACACATGATGAAATCATCCATAATTGAACATTCTCTGTTTAATCTAGTTATATTCGTGGCTTCAGATTATGTTGTACAAATTTAAACAGATAAATATCTCCAACATTACAATTTAATCACAATTAGCGTTATCAAAAAAGCCTAGTTACAATTTTAGATGCCTTTCCTGTCAACTTCATGTTTGAGCATTTTAAAATATACATTTTTTTCTGTCACTGTAGGGTATCTGGGGAAAACTCCGGGCTGGATCATGATTTCCAAGTTATTTCTTCAATTCAATCATTCGATCCAGGTGGAAGTCGTAATTATCTTTCCATATTTTGCTGTATGTACAAAAAGATAGACGGTCAGTTTTGCTTTGAAACACTCTTAATTTCGTTTGATTATACAACTTGTTGAAAAAAACGTTGTCCTCATTCATTTGTATTTTGAGCTAGACGTAGAGTGGGGAAACACCAGTTAAAACAATTCAAAGAATCAGAAAAAGAAAATTCATAATTCTGATCATTTTTTAAATTGTATCTGTTACATTTTATCAAGACATTTGAGATGATATAGTCAATAGTAAGATGGTTACGTGCATTTTGGTTGTAAAATGGTTGTACTAATTTAATGTACAATATGTACGTCGTTTCTTTCATTGTCTCCCTTGTGAGATGCTGTTATATAATATAAACGACTTTTATATTTGATATGCATGTCTACCATTTTATATTCCCCCTCAGTATCAGTAGCAAAGTATTGTTTGCTACAGGATAGATATCTTTTTTTTT